GGGAGCAGTGTATAGAATGTCTCCTAAGGAGTTGGAGGAGCTGCGCAGACAGCTAGATGAGCTCCTCGAAAAGGCGTAGATTAGGCGCAGTTCGTCTCCATTTGGAGCACCTGTTCTTTTTATCCCCAAGAAAGAGGGAGAACTTCAAATTTGCATTGACTATAAGGGGCTTAACGCCGTTATTGTGAAGATTGCAGAACCACTACCCCGTATAGATGATCTATTAGATCAGGTGCAGGGTTGCAAGTACTTTACCAAGATAGACTTGAAGTCAGGGTACCACCAGATAGAGGTCCACCCTGATGATCAGTACAAAACGACGTTCAGGACTAGATATGGACATTATGAGTTCATAGTTATCCCTTTGGACTAGCCAATGCACTGACTATATTCCAACGCTATATGAGCGATTTGTTTAGGTCGTGGTTGGATAAATTTGTAGTTGTATATTTAGATGACATTTTGATTTTTAGCAAGACCCTCCAAGAGCACGAGGCTCATCTAAGGAAGATCTTGGAAAAGTTGCGCGAAGCAAATTTCAAGATCAATGCGAAGAAGTGCGAGCGGGCCAAGACAAAGATTTTGTATTTGGGCCATGTGTTAGATGGTGATTTTATAAAGCCCGAGGACAACAAGATTGCAGCGATTAGAGTTTGGCCAACCCCGCGTACCCTCACAGAGTTGAGGTCGTTCCTAGGATTGACTTACTATTACAGGAAGTTCGTGAGGAACTTCTCTGCCATTGCTGCTCCCCTTCGCAGATTGCTCAAGAAAGAGGCAATCTGGAAGTGGGACCAAGATTGTACATCGGCTCTGAAGAAGTTGAAGCGGGCCTTGTCCTCAAGGTAGCCGATCCGTCTTTGGCTTTTGTTGTCATCACTGATGCTAGTCAGTATGGTATAGGTGTTGTTATACAACAAGATGATGGCAATGGGTATAGACCCGTGGAGTTCATGTCCGCTAGGATGCCTTCAGAGAAGGTCACAGCATCACCCTATGAGAGAGAACTCTACGCTCTCAGGCAAGAGTTAGACCACTTGAAGAACTACTTGCTTGGGAGGCACTTCAAAGTCTACTCAGACCACGAGACATTGAGGTGGCCGAAGACTCAGGCCAAGATGACACCTAAGCTTCACCAATTTGACTTCGAGCTTAAGCCTGTTAAGGGAAAATACAATGTAGTTGCGAACGCTCTAAGTAGGAGAGCAGACTACTTTGGAGCGATAGTACATTATCAGGACAAAGGGAGAGACCTGCAGCAGAAGGTCAAAGATGCGTATGCACAGGACCCTATCTATGGTGACCTCCTCAAGAGAGTCAAGGAGGCCCCATAAACTGAGCCCCATTACCGCACTACAGACGGGTTGCTATTTGAGAAGACTAATGTAGTGGACAGACTGTGCATTCCTAATAGTGAAGAAATCCGTAGCCTGATCTTAGGGGAATGTCACGACACAGAAGGGCACTTCGGTTGGCAAAAGACACTCGCCAACCTGATGTGTGCTTACACATGGCCTTGCATGAAAGTTGACTATATAGAGTATGTGCGTAGTTGCAAAGTGTGTCAGCGCAACAAAACGACGACAAGAGCCCCGTCGGGTCTTCTCAGACCCCTACCTATTCCACTAGGACCCGGAGACTCTGTGTCCATCAACTTTATGGCAAGAGCCAAGTCATGGTCATCATTGACCGTTTTAGTAAATACGCAGTTTTTGTTCCCTTGCTTTCCGAGGCACGAATAGACGCAATAGCAAAAGTTTTTTGATCATTGGGTCAATGGACATGGTTTACCATTGTCTATAGTTAGCGACAAAAATACCAGGTTCATTAGTCAGAACTGGCAGAAACTTATGAGAGTGTATGGTTCTAAGTCGCTCATGTCATCTGGCCGTCATCCAAAGACCACCGGTCAGACTGAACAGATGAATAAGATCCTGCAGCAAGTTCTAAGAATGTACATTAGACCCGATGAAGTTAACTGGGACGAGATGCTCCCAAAGGTAGCCAGCGTGTACAACAACAGTGTCCACTTATCATCTTGCCACACTCCCAATGAACTGCATAAGTCCTTTAGACCGCGCAGACCGTTTGAGGGGCTCAACCGGGATCAGATCCATAGGCTACCGACCGGTACTAGGGAGTTGGCACTACCGCATGAGAAAGAGATTGCTACTGTAGTACAGAACCTCGAGAAGGCGCAACATAAGATGATAGAGCAAGCTAACAAGCACCGTCGCCCGTGACAGCTCTAGGTAGGCGACCTCTTTTTTTTTTTTTTTTTTTTTTTTTGGGGGGGGGGGGGGAACAAGGCTCCAATCTATTCGTGGGGAGCAGCACGTGCTGGGAACCGGGCCCAGCGTCCCATATGGAAATGGCCCCGGTATCTAGACGCTGTCTCTTATACACATCTAGATGTGTATAAGAGACAGGCTGGGAACCGGGCCCAGCGTCCCATATGGAAATGGCCCCGGTATCTAGAGGTAGGCGACCTAGTCTGGGTCAAGTCCAAAGAATTTGCTCCTGAGGAGAACATCTCGCAGAAGCTGTTACCTGCATATAGAGGACCGTCGCCAGTCTTAGAAGTCGAGGGCGGAGATGATGGACCATCCTACACCATAGAGATTCCAGCACACCTCCACAACTACCCAATCTTTCATGCGTCAAAGTTGTTGCCCTGCACTACGAGTCAGCAGTTTCCATCAAGAAGTTCCATGATCCCTCCGGATATGGACGGAAGGTACGACATTGATCGCATACTAGATGAGGATGTATTCAGAACAGGAGGTAGAGGTCGTCCTCATAAACAGTATAAAGTCAGATTTTCCTATCAGGAACCGGAGGATGACCGCTGGTTTACACGAGCAGAGATTCTAGAGACTGCTCCCGATGTGATCCGTGCCTATGAAAGAGCTAAGAAAGGTAAAGATCCTGCTATAGATTGACATATTCTCGAAGGACCTTGAATTTAGGCCGGTGGGAGTGAAACAGTTTTCACCTTTGCAGTAGCAGATGCAGATTCCAGGGCTCGATTCCTAGACCTCGCCCTCACCCGTGTACAGTACCAAGTCGACCCCTGTGTGTTTGAACCCGTGACCTGTGTCTTGGTAGTCGTTTGTTGTCTGTCGCAGGTTAATGTGGTCGTCGGGTCTTGAACTGTAGGTCTGTCAAGTAGGGGTCGTAGCTGTGTAAAAGTTGTAGCTGCCTCAGTCCTGAAAGGTCAAGGTCGTAGCTACTCCAGTCCCGAAAGGCCGAGTCTACAGACTTCCGGAAGGTCCGGAAGTAGCCTTTCGAGAATTGCTAAGGTTAGGCTAGAGGCAAGTGGGCAAGTGGGCAGTCCAACCTCGCCTAGTCAGCGGTTACCAGTCTCAGTCACACTTTGTCCACAGCAAGTACCATGTGGGACTGTGCCCCCTGGACCCGGGGGAAAAGGGCAGGCCAGCGACCCTGAAGAGGCAGCGTCCAGTCATTCATTCATTCTGCCTGTGAGCCGTGCGGAAGCGCTGCCTGAGCGTCTTGTGCAAGGAGGTCTGCAGGTGCCCGAAAAAGAAGTGGGCTGTGAGGGAGACGAAGCGGCCATAGCCGCTAGTAGCTAGGAAGGTAGAAGGCAGCCATAGCTGCTGCAGGTTAGAGATAGGCTGTTGCATGGTGTGTGAGTGTGTGTGGGACATCCAGGGAGATCCAGCGTAGCGTGCGTGTGAATAGTTGTCGGGATTACAGTGTCGGCTGGGTGTTGTGTGGGCGCACAGGTGCCATAGCCATCGGAAGCAAGTTTGGATCTGAACTGTGTTCTTGGCCTCGGATGAAAATTGGATGGGGGAAACACATCAATCGAGGCCACGTATACAGCCTGCGGCTGAAAAGCTTTAGTGTGTTTGGGGATAGAGGTATAGCATCACATAAGACATTTCCGGGCCAGCGTTAGTTCCCATTGCAATACCAACAATGTGTTTCCAAAGTGCCGTCTGCAGTGTACACAAGTGCTTCCTATGACAAAGTGAAGATTTTAGAGACTATGTGAAACAGAAAGGGTGTAAGGCCCCGAATCAACTCTCCATCGGCCAAATCCTTTGACATAATATCTTTGTAAAATCATAAAATGCTTGCCGGTGATAGGGGCCACTAAAAAAAAAAAAAAAAAAAAAAACTATCCACGGGCCACAACGAGGTCCTCAAATGACCATGTTCAGAACATTGTCGCGTGAACGTTCGTAAGTATGCCGAAGGGCATAAGCATGAGCTTCATCAACAGTTTTTGCCACATTATTCAGAATGCGGTCATGAGAAAGGTTGGTGTACATTGTGGTAAAATCAAGAGTATGAGAAGAGAGGCCACAAAGAGACGATGCACTGTTTTTGAGGTCGAGGCCACTTCATTGGCACTCGCGATAATCCAGACCATCGAATGCCGACCCATTGATAGAGCTCTGTGTCTTTCTCACAAAGAATAGTGATCACTCCTTTGGGAAAGCAGCACTGAGATATGAAGAAGTAAACCTTGTACCAGCCAATGGTTTGTGAGAACACCATTCACGAATGATACGAACGGTTGGACAAGAGCGAGCATCTGGGAGAACAGCAGTGTTGTTCTGCGCTGTGAGTCCAAAAATGCCGTGAAGAGCCGGAGGAGGTTTGTGAGCTTTGAGAACATAGTAAAGGTGAGGCAGGACATCAGTATGGGTATTAACCCCAATCGTGATTCCATACTGGACATCAGTGATGGATGTATTAGGGCAGGTACAAGTGGGACTGTCCAAATGGGCACAGAGATGAAACAGATACCAATTCTTGCAGCAAATTGCCAAATTATGTGCTGTTTTGTACACAGGCACAATGGCAACATGCCGTCGACAACGGTGCACGGAGGCATGTGTTGAACAAAGTAATTGACAATGCGTGAGGATTGCAGAACACCAGCTGTTCAACTTATGAGAAACAGAAGAGAAAGAAGTAGATCGAGATTGTCTGGGCAACAACTTCTTGTAATTGCTGATGTATTCATAAAGTCCGATTGCTAGCGCTTGGAGCACACCAGCAGTTCCCCCATTCAAGCGGCATTATATACATGTACATATACGTCTATTTAACAATGCCTACCTAGCTATTCTCGAGGCATCACACATGACAACATCTACCTGATACACATCGAACTCTGACAACATTCGTCCGTGACATTTCTGAAGTTGTACACACAGCAGAGGCCTTCAGATCTGCAGATTGTTCCGTTGTTTCTCTGTGAGACAAGCTTGCACTCTTCAAAAAACATGAACGCTTTAGACTCATGGAAAGCTCATCTTTTTTCCTTTGGGAACAACAACAACAACAAAAACCACCTTCTATTGTTATTCACAAGAAAGCACATCACATCAAAGCAATACGAAGGGAGGGGAGGAACTCCCGAGGTGGCTTGCACTGCGGAAAGCTCCAGCCCTCCAATTTGACCCAAGGTCACATCCAAATCACGGATTGAGACCCTGTTAGCTCGAGAAGATGAGACAGTTCAATTAAAACTGGATCGAACAAAATCTGGGCGTATGAGAAGCACCTGCAAACTTAAACCACCACTACCTCCTAGCCTGTTTTTGCCGACCCTGATTTCACTGCGCACCGAGTTTTGCCGAGCCTGAGTTCCTTTTGTTTTTTTTTTTTCTGGCAAAAAAAAAAAAATGCACGGCCAGACTTTCAAAACACGACCCACTCGCAGCCAAAAAAAAATAAAAGAAAAAAAGCAAACACCCCTTTGGACGTGATGCCTGGTAGATACCTAGCCCAAAGTTGTTGTGTGAGTATGCCCTCAGTGAGGGCGTTACGGCAAGGGTGTCAGTTCCACGAAAAAAGGAAGAGGGAAAAAAAAAATGAAACTGAACTTAGGGCGAGAAAGCGGGTTCATACATTCTGCGAAGTAATACTGTGGGCATGCCCTCCTCCACAAAGTGTCAGCAGCCCGTGGACTGCGCCGTGCCTCCTTGGCGGGGCACCAAAACAAAACAAGAAACGAAAACAAAAAAACACAAACAATGAAAACCTGAAACTGGCCACTATAGCGGTTAGATACGAACGTGTGAGTTTTGGTGTGAGTACAACTTGGTGCACGGCCTTCCCCGACATGATCTTTTGTTTTTCTTTTTGTTTTTCGAAGGGGCCCTCAAGGCCCAACTGCCGAGCCTCGTCCAACCCCTGAAAAGTTCGGAAAAAGTGGGAATACAGCCATTTTTCTTATCTTTCCCAAGAGTGACAGAGGTAGTGGTGGTTTCAGAGAAGGCCAGACTGTTCCATCAGGACTGGACCAACTGAAAAAAAAACAAAAAAAAACAACGGCTGTGTGTATCCTCTGCACTGCACCCCACACGAGCATCCAGTTGGCAGACAGCCAGACCAACCATAGTTCAAAAAAAGGAGTATAATGCGGGCTTGCTAGTCTTGTCATTGTCCAAGTGCAAAATTGCCCAAAGGATGATCGCTGTTGTGGCCTCCTTCTCATGAAAGTTGTGCAAAGCATCTCCGCATCCTTCACCGGGCAGCCTGCAGCCATATCCACCTCAGATCTGAGACAGGAGTACGAAGAGACCTGGAACTGCCGGGCTTTGCTAGTCTTGTCACTGCGCAAGCACCGAATCGATCTTACGGCCTCCTCTTCATAACAGTCGTGCAGCACATTCGTGCTTCACCAGGCACCCCCTCAACCCTGTCATCATCGATGATCCAGATGACGTAGAGGGGGCTATGCATGGGGCTACCTGTCCAAAAATTACTTTTCTCCCTTTTCTAAGTTTTCTCGTATTTCTCACATTACTGCAGTAAACTCTTCAATGAAATCGGACGTGAAAGAGGGGGCAATATCCACAGGGACCTGCATACAGAAGAATCCAAGAATGACAAAACAACCCCCCACTCCCCTCATTCAGTTTCCACTGTTATGTCATAAGTTTCTTGAATGCTTGTGCATTAGGACAGCCCTTACCATTGCTGAATCCAGTGTATTTCAATGTATCAGTCATGGAGCCTCGCTCCACTGCACAACATTCTTAATGTAACTCGAGGCGGAAACGGTCCCCATATTTCATAACACCGGACCAGACCAAATGTATCGGTCCATATTGCAGCCCAGATACATGTAGAATCCTGAGTGGTGGAGCGAGGCCCATGACCGGATTAGAATAAACTTCCGGCCATTTCTCGATTTGATTCCATTCGTGCAAGTCAAGAAATTGCGATTAAAAAAAACAAAAGAAAAGAAGGAACTGGACTGAGGAAAATGTTGTTGGTTGGTGGAAGAAGTAACCAGAGGATGGCAACAAAGAACCAAGGAGGTCTGAGCTTGAGATGTGACTCTTGCAGCAGCTGGCAGCCTAGAGAGGCAACTCTTGAAGGTTTAGGGGGGTTTCCAGGACTCTGGCCGGAAAAGAGGGGGAGGGTGCTCTTGGCAACTCTGTTCTTTTTTTTGGTTCTTAGTTTTCGCCCCATAACACGTGAGTTGTTGAGCCTGAGATCTGATAGAATGCATAAAAGTGACATTGGTTTTCAGTCCTAATTGACCGTCGTCTATGTTTTCATTAGAAGGTATAAGTCCCATGCCCGCTGCGACGATGCCATGGCAGGGAGAATGGGAAGAGGGAAGACAGAGGGAGGGAGACGGCTGCCGCCAAAAATCGTGGCCAAACAGGTCTGCGATTGAACGCAAGCCAGGGCATTGCACACATGGGTCTGTCATATCCAAATATAGCATGTGTGAGTATGGCGGGGAGTGTCCCTTTCTCCTTTCAGTTTTTCTTTGAGAGGTGAGTGTCTGCCTTAGGAGATTGCATACGCGCTCCTTTTTTACCTTTCTCAAAAGGCTTGCAAATTTCATTTCCTATCCAAAAACAGAGGCCGAGCACCTTAGGAGAGGCATACACAGAATTACACACCCTTTATGAATATCTTTGATGAATTCTTGCTGCGAGACAGAGACATTGTTGTTTTCGATCCGTTCCCTCCTTCACTGTCAGTATTGGTTGCAATCAACACGAAATCGGAACTCCTGGCCCGATAATTTTTGTTTGGGATGTGTTTGCATGCAGGTCCACAAAACACCTTGCTATCTTCTCCCTCCACCACTACCACCCTCCTTTCCGTCCATGTGTTCCGTTCCCTGTGCACTTCACAAACAGTTCACCCCATTCCTTCCGTCAACATGTTCCTTTCCCTCTCCACTTCACAAACCCCTCATCCCGTTACTTCCCTCATGTGCCACGGCTGCTTCCCTCTTCCCTCACCCCCTCTAAATCACATCCAGATAATTAAAGAGTGATCACATTCCCCTCTTCTTTCACGAGTTCGTCTGTTTCCCTCTCTTCCACTTCCCAAACCGTTTTTGCGATTCCTCCCCTCTCTCTCTCTCTCTCTCTCTCTCTCTCTCTCTCTCTCTCTCTCTCTCTTTCTCTCTCTCTCTCTCTATCTATCTATCTATCTATCTATCTATCTATCTATCTCTA